TGCCTCCAAGGATCTCTGAAATTGTTCATTTAACAAAACTCATAGAATTTAAACACAGAGAGTACACCATAAAAAAATCTATGGTTCTTTTATTAATAACAATTTTTGACCAAGTGATTCAACAGTCATGATGAAGGCACTAGATCTGCCTGGGATCTATGATGAGGGGAAAATCTATGATAAGTGCTCAGTTATCAGTCAACACTTCCCTCATCAGAAATACTATACCAAATAACTAAACAAATGCAACCATGAATGAGATCTTTTTTTTAGGAACACTCACAAAAATATTTCATTCCCAAATAAGGTAGCTATAGAGACTATATGATCCATTTCTTAAAGATTAGGAGAACAAACCTCAATAGACAGCAATGATGAGTCACACCCAGTAAATTAAATAAAAGAGGCGGCAGGGTGAGAATCTTTCCTTCTTACTCCAAAATAATTATTATCCCACAAGTTGCCCCCTCCACATTTCAGTCTTCTGATTTCCCTCTTGATGGATGCTCTCACTTTAGCTAAAGACCACATTTGTGAAGAAGAAAGGACACAGTTGGATTCTAGGAACTATAAGTCCCTCCATGAAGATACTGTCTTGAGAATTGGGGACCTTGGAGTTCCTCAGGGTAGTCAAGGCCTGTGGACACCTCACCTGGACTTAGCATTCACGCAAGGTCTTCTGCCAGCCTGCAGCCCACAGCCAGAATGTCATGGAAGCTGTGACCTTGGCTGGTATTAGGGTCACCCCAGTTGAAGAGTTCCTTGAGATGTTGACACAGGAGAAATGAGGCATATCTCCCTTGCTGTAATTTCTGATGAAATAAGGACAACTTCTGGTCTTGATCTTGAATGTAGGAACTACATTCCCTGTGTGAAATACTTAGAATATAAAAGCCAGAAATGACCAACCAACTGTGGGTATATTCTTAAACGGAGCTAAAGCAAGATTTGGGTTTACTGTTCTTGCTATTGCAAAGAAAACAAAGATAAATATGAGTTTGCTGTGTCTGAAAGTGTTCCTGTATGATTCTTCAACATTCTCATCTACTCTTCTCTAACCAAAATGAGGCTTTTCATTCTCCCAGAGATGCCTCTACAGGGCCTCTTTGGGTGTAGACATCTCTATATCAGTAGAGATACCATGCATTTCTTCAGTGAAGCAACAGAAATGTGTCCAATTGGAGCTGGGGTCAGCAGAAAATGAAAGAAATGGAGTTGGACAGGTTCAGGAAGACACAGCCTTTGTGAATGAAAGGTGACAAGGTGTCACTCATCAGTAGAATTTGAAAGACAGCAATTGCATAGTGTCAAAGGTGGAGAGCATAGCAAATGTCTCATAATTGTTCACTTTAAATTAATTTTATATTACTTGAAGTAAGCTCATCACAAATCTAGAAGTACAAATGAGAATATTTATTAAGTTCATTGCATCCTCTACCAATAATTTGTTCCCTAAGCTTTCAAAACTCATTGTCCTCCTGTATCTTCCATGTGATTTCTACTCCTCCTGTCTATGACCAGGCTAGCTAGTGGTTCCCCCACCTGAGCTGGCACACTTAGGCATTCACCCACCTTCCACCCTGTCTGCAATGCACAGAGCCCCTTACTTCAGATTTTCAGCCAGGCTCAGCTTCTCAGCCAGACTTTCTTCCTTGTATTGCAGCTTCTCACCCAGAACAGACTCGATAATGTCTTTGAATTTTTGACAATCTGAGGGAGACAGATGGGCCTACCTTAGTAGACAGTTGACACTGCTTGCAAGAGGGAAGGCTGTCCCCATCATAAGGATAAATGACATCACAGCACATGCGTTTGTATAAGCAGGTCCATGTATTCATTCTGCAATATCTTACACAGATGATAGTTCTGTCTCCATTTTGGAGATAAGGAATGTTAAATTTTTAAAGACCCTTAAATTGAAACAATTCAACTCTTGCAGTCAGTCAGAATTCACATCCCATAATGTCTAAATCTGAATCTAGTAAAACTAATTACCAAGGCTGTAGCATCTAAAGTCAAACACTTTGCTAGGTGTAATTAGTGTTAACCATTATTCTTGGATTGGGACTAAAAATATTCTTGGGTTGGGATTGCTGTAAGAAAAAATTTCTCAAAGATGAACAAAAATTTATCTGGAAATATTTGTATAAGGCATCGGCACCTAAGTGTGCATGCCCAACAGTAACACCTTTTGTGCCCAGTGAAGAAAAAAATACCAACTCTTAGTGTTGATGCTGTGGTAAGCAGTGTTTTAAGCCTTTTCTTAGAATATATGCTAAAAGTAGGTATAAGCACAGACCCTATGAATAGCTGAGAAATATAAGGGGAGGAAAAACCACAAACCCAGACTACAGGTTTGGAGATGGGTGCAAGGCCTGTGCTCAACACACTACCACTTTTAAAGAGATAGCATGATGTCTTTCTCCTTTATTATCTTTAAATTCTTTAGCTACCATAACTTTCATATTCTATGAAAAGATGTTAATGAAGTACAAGTGGCCATTTTCCAAAAATGATCTCCTGATTTGCTTCATATTTTTCCATTTTTAATGTTTTCACCTTGGATCTCATTTTACTACAAAGGTTTGTCACAACAAAACAGCAACAGAGTTAAAAGAAAAATTACAGAAAGGGTCAAATTTTAGCCAGTTCTCCCTCAGACAGATGACTTCTATCTAGAACATAAAAAGAACTGAAAAAAATTGAGACACTCCAAATTCAAGAACCCAATCTAAAAATGGGTATCTGAGATGAATCCATGCTTCTCAGATTAAGAATTTCAAACAACAACTAACTAACTAAATAAATAAGTGTTCAAAATCATTGATCCTTCATGAAATGCAAATTAAAACAACACTGAGATCCCATCTCCAGAAAGAATGGCTGTTACCAAGAAATCAACCAAAAACAAATGCTGGAGGGGCTATGGGGAAAAAGGAGCCCTCCACTGTTGCGGGAAAGCAAACTAGTACAAGTACTGTGCAGATGAGCATGAAGCATCCTAAAAGTTAGGATTAGAAGTCCTTTAAACCCAGCTATTTCCCTTTTGTGCATCTTTCCAGAAGAACAGAAAACATAGTACCTCAGCAGTATGCGGCACTTGTGTTTATGGAACTGTAATTTTTAATATAAATCTTGGAAACAACATAGATGTTATCAACACAGGATTGCATTAAAAAGATGTGATATTACTTTCCTTTTGCACTAGAGTATTTAGCTATAAGGAAGGATAAACTTTAGACTTCCATAAGTAAATTGATACAACTTGACACCATACACATAAGTGAATTAGATCAGACTCTTGTAAACATCATATTGTCTCCCTGGCATAAGAAGTTGTAAGAGTAAATAAGGTCGAAAATCCGTAGTATTTATTGTGAGATGGGAAGAAATTTTTCCAAAGGAAAGAAAAAGTAGGGTGAAGGAAAGGGGTAAGGAAGCAAGGGAAAACATACAAGTTAGTTACACCAGTAATGTCTCTCAGTTAATTACAAAGAATTGTTTGTACTAATAGGACTTGGAGAATTTTATGCCTATATCTTATACTCTAAGTAACTATTTTGAAGACAACATTATGCAATGTATTAACTATTGTTAGTTTCCTAATTTGTTGTGAAACTTTGTTTTATTTTTTTCAAAAAGTAAAAGAAATTTTATCTTACTGTTAGTCACACAAAACATTGCACCCCTAAATATTGGGTAAAGATCTCTTGACAAATGAGGCAAATTCAGGGCCCAAGCTGGCAAGTGTGGGTGCA